GACTTGAACACGTCCAGCCCCTCCAGAAGCTCTCTAACCCGGTCCTCCCCAACCTGAGGTCTGGAGGTGTTCCCCTTGAGTCCACCTGGCATCACAGTGGGGAAGTCCCTGTCCCTGCACAAGAAAACGGACGTGAAGAATTGGTTAACTGGTGGGAGGGGCAGAAGCCTGGCAGGCACTGCCTTCCCCTCAACAGCAGACCCAAGCTGAAGTCTTGTATGGGCCAGGGAGGGGATTTAAAACCCCATCCCAGTGGCCTAGCCATGCCCCCTCTGCTCCAGCAGGGAGGGGGGAAAAGTCTCTCTTCCCTTCCCTTTGGCAGTGGGTGGCAGGCATTCTCTAGCACCCCCTGGCTTCTGGATTGAGCCACTGCAGGCATGTGGCTGCATTTACTGCATCAAAAGTCATGTCTGTCCATTTATTAATCAGTTCAAGCTGTGCAGCTTAGACTAACCTGAAAAGACTGAATTAGGCTTTTTGCCTGTCTGGACTTAGCCCGGAAGAGGAGACAGAGAGGATTTAACAGGAACAGCAGTCTTTAACCACCTGAAGGGTGGTTCCAAAAAGGATGAAGCTAGACTGTTCTCTGGTGACAGATGACAGAACAAGGATCAGTGGTTTCAAGTTGCAGCAAGGGAGGTTTAAGTTGGAGATTAGAAAAACATCTCTCACTAGGAGGGTGGTAAAGCACTGGAACAGGTTACTTAGACAGGTGGTGGAGTCTCCACCCCTGGAGGTTTTTAAAGTCTGGCTAGACAAAGTCTTGGCTGGGATATAGTTGGAATGGTCCTGCTTTGAGCAGAGGGTTGGACTAGATGACCTCCTGAGGTCCCTTCCAACCCTAATTTTCTATGATTCTATTTGCTCTTTAAAATCTCCCATTAGTTTCAGTGGAAATTATGTAAGAACACTAAAAGATGAATGGGCCGCTCGAGTTAGCTAAATTATGAGTGGCTCATGCTGAGTCAACAAAAACATCACCCAAATTCCAAGAGTATTTATGTATTTACATATGTAAATGCAATGGGTTTTCCATGTGCATGCTTTGCTTTGGGAACATGACTGAAGATGTGCATTGGAATGAGCCAAATGCTTTGGAAAAACTCTTTACTTGGCCAGGGAGGCCGAGAAACAGATGCTACCACCCACAGTATAAAAAGTAGGTTCCTATCTAGGAAACACAACTCCCAAACATAGATTTGACTATGCTGATTTGTCCAATGGACATCAGTAGAGCTATTCATAACTAGGGAGCTTCTGAAATTGCAACTTTGCAGAAATCACGAAATCACATGAAATTGGGCAATGCCTGCAAAATCTGCAGGAAAAATAAAACTTACTGGAAATAAAATACTGGCTCATCAGAGGAAATCAACAGTCCTCATGGTACTGCAGCCTTGCTGTGCAGCCCACCAGGGGGAAGGGGCGCTGCCAACACAAAGGAGACCTCAAGATGGCTACCACTCCCTCACCTCACTGCTGATTGGCTGAGGGCTGCCTGTTGAGTAGCCCTGCCCCTCTCCCCAGTTGGTGGTGAGGGATGGGGCAAGATGATGGACAGCCCTCACAACCAATTAGCAGCAAGGGGTGGGGATGCATGGCAGGCAGACCTCACAACTAATCAGCAGCAAGAAGCAAGGCCACCTGTGTCCCTTGGCCAATCAGAGGTGTGGGAGAACCCAGCCACAATCAGCGTACAAAAATGGCAACTAGCCCGTGATCTCCTCATGAAATTGGCCAGCTGCTTCCTCGAGTTGGGTAGACCCTTAAACATAAGAGCAGGAGCAGGCAAAATACAACCCATGGGCCCGCCAGGCTATTCTATCCGGCCTACAAGCTCCTAAAATTTTTTGAAAATTAATTTTTATCTGACCCGGCTGCCTACCAAAGATGACAGACAGCCAGTGGCAGCAGGACCCAAGGGGAACCAGTGGCAGGACCCAGTGACTGAGCAGCAAGGCCTGCCCAGCTCCACCCTGCCCCAGCCCATCCCTCCCAGCACAGCTCCGAACCAGAAGCCTCTGCAGCTTCTGGCCTTGCAACCTTGGTGCTGTTCCCTGCCTCCCTCTGTCTGCATAGAAAGTAGGTAAGACTGGATGGAGGGAGTTGGGGGAAACCACTGAGAACAGCCCAACACCCGGGAACTGCATGGTGCTGGCCAGGATGGGCTGGAGCCAGAGCTGGAAGTGGCAGGCGGGTGAGGGCAGAGGGTAGTGGGGGTTGCAGGGGGCTGTGGGAAGTGGTGGGTGGCGGGTTAGAAGGAAGCAGGGTGGGAGGAAGCAGCAGGAGCATGGGGAGCAATGGGGGGGGAGCAGCAGCGGTGCCACAGGAAGTGGCAGCGTTGTGGAGAGAAGCAGGGGGAGCAGCCAGGGGGCTGTGGGAACTGGCAGCAGCAGGGGGAGGAGCGGGAGTGCTGCAGAAAGTGATGGTGGTACGAGGAGTGGTGGGGGAGCAGCAGGGGCCACAGGAATTTGCAGCAGTGGTGGGGAGTGGTGGCGGTGGCTGCTGGGAAGCAATGACAGCAGTGGCAGAAGGTGTGGGGGAGGAAAAGTAGGGAAATGGTGGTGGGGTGGTGGTGGGAGTGCAGAGCCCATGCTAGTGTCCTGGGAAGCAGCATGAGTGCAGGGTCTGGCTGCAGGGTCTGCATCACGTGAGGCTCATACAGTCTGTGAGAGCTGCACGCGATGGGGCCAGGGGCCCAGTCCCATCTCTCTTTTTCTCACCCACCCTGCCCACCATAACCCCACACCCTGCTTACTG